AGTCGTGGGGCCTGAACTCTGGGCCTGGGCGCTGTCCCTCAGCTCTTCAGCTCAAGGCTAGCGCTCTACCACTTGAGCCACAGCGCCACTTCCGGCTCTTTTTGCTTATATGGTACTGAGGAATCGAACCCAGGGCTTCATGCATGCAAGGCAAGTGCTCTACCACTGAGCCACCTTCCCAGCCCCAAAGCATTAATTTTTTTATGTGTGTGTTACATTCGTGGTTGCTGTCCCTAAACTTTTTTATTCGAAGCTAGCACTCTACCACTTGAGCCAAACTTCCACTCTTAGCTTTTTGGTAGTTAACTGGAGGTAGGAGTCTCAAAGACTTTCATGCCTGTACTGGGGCTTCAAACCATGATCCTCAGCCCCCTGAGTAGTTAGGATTATAGGTATGAGCCACTGGTGCTTAACTTGGGACTAAAAAAAAAAATTTTTTTTGTTGGTTGTAGGGCTTGAACTCTGGTCCTGAGTGCTGTCCCTGAGCTCTTCAGCTCAAGGCTAGCACTCTACCACTTGAGCCACAGCACCCCTTTCTGTTTTCTGGTGGTTAATTGGAGATAAGAGTCTCATGGACTTTTCTGCCAGGACTGGCTTCGAACTGCAATCCTCAGATCTCAGACTTCTGAGTAGCTAGGATTACAGGCATGAGCACTGGTGCCTGGCTAAAAAAATTTATATATAACCAAATACTACCTTTTATCAAGAATGAAATAGGAGCTGGGTGCAGGTGGCTCCCAGGCAGAGAACTAGCAATTTGCCACCTGTGTGTGTGGGGGGGGGGAATGGCAGGAGGGTTTAGCCTGGATGCCTCAGATTCTGTCCTCCCACTTGCTGAGTGGTTCTTACTAGAAAATTATAGGCCCAGGCTCAGTGATCTATGGTAGAATTTTTTTATTTAGGGAAAAAAAGGGGGGAGTACAATAAAAAAGGGGGCTTCTTGATCAGCTTTTATTCAAGTCCATCTGTGAAGATGAATGGTTAATGGTAACCTACATTTGTATCAGGATGGGCTATATGAAACTAGCTTTCCAACTCACAGTATTATTGATACTATTGTATTAAAAAGGAAAAAAGAATAAAATACAAACAATAATCTGCCTCCTATAAATACAGTTTTTAAGTGGCAAAAAGGATGCAGTAAATCAGATCATCTTTAATCCAGTGCCATTTATTTTAGGATAAATTCAAAAGTTATATTCATGGGGGGACAAAAAAAAGCCTGCTGTTGGTGGCTCATACCTGTAATCCCAGCTACTCAGGAGGCTGAAATCTGAGGATCAAAGTTTAAATCCAGCCCGGCCAGAAATGTCTGTGAGACTTATCTCCAATTAGCCACCAGACAACCAGTAGAGCTGTGGCTTAAAGTAGTAGAGTGCTAGAATGCTAGCCTTGAGCAGAAGAGCTCAGGGACAGTCCCCAAGACCCTGAGTTCAAGCTCCATGACAAACCAAAAAAAAAAAAGACAACAAAAAACTTACTAAATGTTTTAAAGAAATGGTGCTCAAGTGACATAAGAAAACACACTGAGCTCAATGCCAACAGCTTTCACCTATAATCCATCCTAGATATTCAGGACACTTAGATCCAGAGGATAGAAGTCCAAAGCCAGCCTAGATAGAAAAGTCATAAGATTCCATCTCAACTGGTAAAAAGCTGGAGTCATGGCTCAAGTAGTGAGTGCCAGCCATGATCAAGAAAATAGAGCAAGTTTGAGATCCTAAGTTCAAGCTCTGATACCAGCACACAAAAAAAGTAACCAAAACACTGGATTCAGGAACACAGATGCACTCTGAAGAGAAGCTTCTGAAACATCCTGTGGCCCTCTCCTTTCTTCCTGCCAAAATCCTCAAGAAAGCTTCTCATCCTAGTCTTTCCCTCAAAAGAATAATGGCTCTATTAAAGAAAAATATTTTTGAAGAAGTCAGAACGTTTCACATCACCTGCAAATTTTACAAAATAACAAATTTTATTTTTAAATGTTCAGATATAAACCTTATAATAGAATTCAATGAACTCTTCTTAGCAAACAAAACAAAGAAAATCTATTTTTGAACTGGAGATTTAACTACACTGGCTGTGGTGGACACATGCCTATGACCCAGAATTTTCAGGGCTGAGACAAAAGCTTCATATATTTGACGCTTGCCAGCCCAGGCAAGAAAGTCCCTGTGAGACTCTTATCTCCAATGACCACTCAAAAACTGGAAGTAGAAAGCTGGGCGCTGGTGGCTCACACCTGTAATCATAGCTACTCAGGAGGCTGAGATCTGAGGATCGCCATTCAAAGCCAGCCTGGGCAGGAAAGACCATGAGATGAAATTCCTATCTCCAATAAACCACCAGAAAACCGGAAGTGGCACTATGGCTCAAGTGGTAGAATGCTCACCTTGAGCTGAAGAGCTGAGGGACAGTGCCCAAGCCCAAAGTTCAAACAATCAACCAAAAAAAAAAAAAAAAACAACTGGGGGCTGGGAAGATGGCTCAGTGGTAAAGCGCTTGTCTTCCATGCATGAGGCCCTGGGTTCGATTCCCCCAGCACCACATAAGAACAAAAGCCAGAAGTGGCGCTATAGCTCAAGTGGTAGAGCGCTAGCCTAGAGCTGAACAGCTGAGGGCCAGTGCCCAGGCCCAGAGTTCAGGCCCCATGACTGGACCCAAAAAAAAAAAAACTGGAAGTGGAGCTGTAGCTCAAAGTGATAGAGTGCTAGCCTTGAGTGAGAGCTCAGGTATAAAACCCAAGCCCTGATTTCAAGCCCTACAAGCAGAAAAAAAAAAAGAAAAAACTTCAAATACCTTGTGAAATTTTCCTTTAAGGTAAGGTAAAAATTCCAAATACTGGGGCTAGGAAGATGGCTCAGTGGTAGAGTGCTTGCCTTGCATACCTGAGGCCCTGGGTTCTATTCCTCAGCACCACATAAGTGGTAGAGCGCTAGCCTTGAGCTGAAGAACTGAGGGACAGCGC